ATTAGTCAAATTTGAAGCTGAAATTGAAGGAGACATTTTGATTTTCTGTTACTCATGTTTTCTACTAACTGTTCATAATTCCCGAACAGACAGCCAATTGATTTCTATTTAGGATCCTAAAAAAGCGGAAATAAAGAAGGTTTCTTTACTGTCGTGTTCTCACTCATACATATGTAGCTATTTTTTGGTTAATAGAGAGTTAAAGCTCTAAAAAATACTATATGCTGTAAATCTGAGGTTCCTTGTAGCTAATACCTGTACAAATTATAGGTTAAGCTACACCATTTCATATTCTAAACGGGTGATTCCATACAATACATGCGGATTCTCTCATAAAGGGAAATTCCTTAGCTAATTAGAAAGGAAATCGGGGAACTGAAATTTGCCTCTCATATATTAAATAATTGTTCACAAGCCCCGGTCTCTCTTGCATTAGATTTGTAAATAGTTTAGAAAAGTTGATCATAGCCTCCCACTTGAGTCCATTTGCCTTGGATAAGCATGCTGGCACAGCAAGAACATGTTCACCTTAGCACAAACCCTCCGAATCAAGCGGCCAGAGCATCTCTAATTAAGTCACCACCACAACGACAATTGATGTTACTAGTGATCCATCAATACTGAGCTTAAAAAAAACATCATTTCACGCCCTTTTAAGAAATCTTAGCTCACTAAGACTTGTTGATTCACTTGACCTTCTCTTGACAAAATTATAAGTGCATACATACTCTTTGGCTGAAGATTGATATCGTTGACTATCTCCTTTGGAGGATGCGGTTGCCGTTGAAGATCCAGACATTTCTGCCGTTTCACAGATTTCCAGCCAAGCTACTCCGAAAATTAATAGCCCAAGGGGACATCCGACGGCATGGTTTTTCCTTTTGCTTTTGAGGTTCTTTTACTAACCAATCTTCCATAGATAAGCCTGGTATCAAAAAACGAATACAAGTCAGGAGGATTGAGCGAAATGCAATCTGATCAACATAGACACAGTCCTTAAAATGTTGAAAAACTGTTTTCAGGTAGCCCCATGCAAAAAATCAATTTAACGTCGGAGATAAGAAAAAATTGCTAGTAGTTTTAAACCCCAAGACCTACTAATCTGATTACTAAGACTAGAAATACCAACCATTTTTAGAGTAAAAAGATTTATGAAGATCATCAGCATCATTTTCTCCCTGAGCAAACACAGAAATCATCCAGAACGCCTATAATGATGCCTGCTGCCTCAAGAGTGGCCTCAGCAAAACAGATATGAGATCACTGCCAAAAAAATAAATGAAGTTAAGGCGAAGACCATTTACTGAAAAGATGGATGAGGGTAAAATAATATAATGTGTTTAGTTCAAACATGGATGGGTAAAACAATAATAAATGAGAATGTTTTCAAACATATTACTTTTAGTAAAACGTTGAAGTGAAGAAAGAAATAATTGTCTTTAGGTCCAGCGTTAACACTAATATTCTGAGCGTCAGATAGTTCGTAACGGTTCTAAAACCTAAGATTTAATTACTTCTATTACAAAAAAATATAAATTTCAAAAGTATTATTTTAAAAATAAATTTGAAAGTATTTAATTTAAAATTAAAAATAATATGTTAATATTAAGATTAATAGAGAGAAATTAAACACATAAAATAAATGTTCTTAATGTTATAGCTCATAAACCTTGAACCATATGGTATATCGATTGAACTATGCATAAATTAATATTTTTTTGCCAAATTACAACCTTTTTATTTTTTTTTTATGAAAGAGAAGAATATCATTAATTATCTCAAGGAAAAAGTAATCATCAACATTCGGGCCACTGAATCCCAAATATGTACACGATTAAAATGATAGGGAAAATTTACAATAATACTCTCGACATCCGTTGTTAAGTTTGACAGGTTTTAACCTTTACAAAATAAAAAAAGAGTCATTGATTCACCTTAATTTTATTAAAAAATAAAGATATTAATTAAATTACTTTCAATTAAAGTTTATTTAATTAAGACAAAAGTATAGTGTCGATTTTGGTAGACAGGTAAAATTAGAATTAAAATAGAAAAAAAAAATTAAACCGACAAATTTTAACGAAACATAAAGCCCATATATTCATGTTACGGAGAAAAGGAAGAAAGTTGATATATTCATGTGACTTTTCCAATATAAAAATAATAATTATGCCACCAAAAACGGAAATCTAAGATTAGCTTTCACTTTGAAGCATCATTCGATTTCAGTTCTGAAAAACGTGAGAGAAGAGTGATGTCATCAACCAGAAAAAATCAAATCAACATACGATACATTAAAAGGAAGATCTCAACCACAAATCCACATATCTTTCATACAACTCATACACCAAAAACATGAATACTATTTTTAATTAATTATAATTTATTGCTGAATATTCATACATATCCTAGGTGGATCCCAATTTGATGTTGGACAGATGGCCCATTAATACTAAGAAACCCTAGGCCCAGTCCAGTTCATCAAATTGTTCAATTATTGGAGGTCACAATGTTGCTATGTTCGTGTTTAATTGGTGAACTTATATATTAATACAAACGAATTAGTTCCTAACTCCCTAACCCCAAACTAAACACTCAAACAATAAGAGAAAATGGGTCTGAGCCCATTTTGTAACTAATGATCAAAGATGTTCTTCCCAATCTAGGAGAAATTCTTAGAGATAGACTTCAGTCTATTATGATATAATTAAAATAAAGACAAATCAAAAAATTTTTTGATATTTGACATGAATAATTTCATTTTTTTTTAGATATCAAATTAATCTCATTTTGGAATCTTTGCATGTCGCTATTATAAATGTTTTTTTTTTTTTTTTAGAAGAGAATTTTTAAATATCTACGAAAACTTATGAAAGACGAAATTATAAGGCATAGCTAGGCAGGCTTATACATTGACTTGTGAAAGTATATTATTCTTATCTCTTTACATGACAAAAAAATCACTTCAACAGTCTTAAAAAATAGAGTTTTTTCAAGTAGCACTTATCCGCCAATGCAATGTCACCACTTAAAAGCCAAGACAAAGGACAAAACGTCATGCAGTATTGAATTTTTCAAACTTCCATTTGCGTGTTCGAGCCAGTTTAATTGGGTTAAGCAAATAAACCACTATTCCTAACTATAAATACTAATAGATGATGAATGGAATAAAATTGCGTGAATATTAAATTTCCAAATCTTTTTATCCCTAATTGTGATGTTAATCCTTGATCTTGCAGATATAATATTAATGGTATCTCAACAACTTTTCGGACAGCAATACATACAACATATATATGTATTATTGTAGATCTGAAAAAAACGTGTACAAGAAAGTTATTTTGCGAAAAATATTTTAAAAATTAGTCAAACAAAATTAAATCAAACTAAACTTAACGAGTTTCAAACTTATAAATAAGCGACAATTTTTTGTTTATACTATAAATTGGACATGAGTGAGTTCGGAAACTCATTTAAAAATTTAAACGAATTAATTCAAAGGGAAATAGGTCCATTTTTTAAATGAGTAAATTTGATTTTAATTAAACTTGTAGAACTGTAAAATTCAATAAAACATAATCTCACGTTGCATCAAATTATTTACAAAAGGATTTTAAACTTCCCAAACCAGAGGAGGAAATAGGAAGATCAAATTTAAAAATGATAGCTAACTAGGCATTATGTCTATGAAAAAAAAAAGTAAAACCCTTGACCTAAAATTTAGTCTTTTTTTATTATTTTTATATAAATAATTGGTCTTCAGATCTTATTATTAAAGGACCGCTGAAATTTTGCCAAATTTATTATAATATTAGATGCTTCTCTTGTCGTGGAAGTGTAAACACATCTAAAAAATAAATGTTCACCATTCTAGTGTCGGTTTTAATTAATGAAAAGATACTACTTGAGGAAACCAAGGGAAAATGAAAAGAAAAACCCAGTATAGATGAATCATTCAATTTGCTTGTCAATGTCTACTTCAAAAGATTAGACAAAACTAATCTTAGTGACATAAAAAAAAAAAATTCTAAAGATAAAATGTATATCACAATGAGAGCTTTATTATGAAGTTTTCATCGATTAAAAAAATTTATTTACCTTTTAAATTATTATTAATTTATAAATTTAAATAAGAATAAAAATAATTGGTTAGAATCGCCAATTTCCCATTTTATTGGGAGTAAGTATTTCCGCTAATGAAATCTTCACCTTAATTAATTTAATATAAATATTTCGTTGGCGTTAATTTTCTAACATGTGTCTGACGCACTTTTGTCTATCACATGGTTTAAAAAGATAAGTTGCAGAATTTTAATTGGAAGGGGAGTATACATCAGACCTCATTTGTATATAAAAATGCGTAATAAGTGGTCAACATAATGAGATGTGCCACCATATCACCATCTGAAGTATGATAAAAAAGGGGTCAGAGATAAAGGAATTGGACAGTCAAAGCAAAGAAATTAATTATTTTCTTCCATCTTACAGCTACAGCAACATTCTTAGTGGAGGAAAGAGAGAGGTGAGAAAGGTAACTGAATTTTCAAGAAACATTAAATAGTTAAAATAATAGATGGAAAATTGAAAAAAATTAAAAAAAAAAAAAAAGTTTAAAAGAGGCAACAAAAGAGCAGGGTTAGTGAGTGTGGAGGAGGAGGGTAGGAGAGGCAGGAGGAAAGAAGAGGAGCACCAACAAAAGTGGCGGTCAGAATCAGGAAACAGCTACACGTTGTTGAAGAGGAGGCCAATTGCATGTGAGCCCCACATGGGCCTTATTGCAGCTGGAGAGAAAGAAGAACTCCACATCCACCCTCCCTAAATACACAACAAACCCATGTTCCCTTCCTTCTTCTTCTTTTACCCTTGGTTAATAGTTTTGGGTTTCTGTTACTTCTTCAAACAAAAATTAAAGTCTCATCTTTCTTTCTTTTGTATTACTCTTTCTTTCTTCCCTTTTCAAACAAGAAGGTCAAATTGAAAAGGGTTTGCAAAAATGAAAGAAAACAAGTGATGGTTTTGTAAAAGAGCGATTCCAGATTGATCTAAAGAGTTTAGATTGAGCGAATTGGAGAGGCATCTTAATAAGGTATGGACTATGGAACAAGAAAGAAAGCTATGATGTGGTATCTCACTGCGTCATGCTGCCGTAGAACCGATTTTTACTGCCGTGACCACACCATCAGGACTAAGTGCGGCTACTTCAAGAAGGTTAGGCATATGGGAGATCGAACCCCCTCTAAGCTCATTATCAAGAGTGTGTAATTGCACGTGGTTCCTTTGGCATCGTTCCACCGTGGCATTTATGATGGCCAGGATGTTGCCGGTTGAGTCTCTCATTTTGTCATTTTTAAATTTCGTTTTAGGGATTTAGCTTTATCAGATACAATGTTTTCAGTTAGTTTGTTCTTCAGTACGCGATTCTGTCAAATCCCATCTCCACCCCCCCCCCCCCCCCCCCCCCCTTTTTTTTTTGAAAAACATATGTATTATTGGGAGTTTCAGAATTAATTTTAGTTGAGTTGATGAATACCCATTTGCCATTTTTGACAAAAAAAAAGAGTTTTTTTTTTTTGTAGTTTTTAGCTATTTTAATTAACTCCATCATGTGTTGGTTAGCCATGGAGAATGTGTGATGTTCTTGCTAAATATCAGTATATTATTTTTGTATAATGGAAAAAAATGTTTCTTTTTAATTTCCTTTTCTTTTGCTAACAGTTACTTTAATTTGGTCCGTTTTAAATAGGATCAAGTGGATCACTTTTAGGTTGAGTTTCATTGTTTCATGTCATATCATAATTCAATTAAACAAGTGATGTATTGTCCTTAGTTTTAGCCAAATAATTACAATGAAAACTCCTCTGTGAAATTCTGGATTTTTGTTGCATTAACTTTTATGAGGATGTTAGTCATTGAGCGTGATAAGTGTACCCTTATGGAATCCGTGACTCTTACACGGGTTTGGGTTGAAGTTGCTGGTTATACCAATAACTCGGTGATCATATTGGATTTATGAACTTTCATGTGATCCCAGCTGGTAGTTAATGTCGTCTCAACGCAGAAAAGAAAAATGCAAAATAGGCCTGGAAGCAGGAAAGCATGATCCCAATTCATCATTTTTTTAATTATTGATTTGTATTTTATTTTTGTACTCATCCATATCTTTAATTCTTAACTTTTTTAATTTTTTTTTTTTTAACTTTTCAGTTGCTTCACTGTAAAGGGTCAATAGTCGGTTGCTTCTGATACAAATGATGGTTGTATTCATTCTGGTTTTGCTAACATTATTTTTGTCTTTATTGATCGTTAGTTAAGTTGCTTGACTGGGGCGAAGAGGGCCAGAGGACAGAAGCTGAGATTGCCTCGCTAAGAGCAGCTTTTATAAAAGAAGTTGCTGTTTGGCATAAACTTGATCATCCTAATGTTACTAAGGTCACTTTTTTACCTCTGCAATTTCTCTCTTCTATTTATGTAGGGACAGAATTTGGCATAAACTTGATCATCCTAATGTTATATGTAGGGACAGAATTTGGCATAAACTTGATCATCCTAATGTTACTAAAATTATTTTTTATAAGTTTTTACTGAGCTACACATTTGCTATTGACAAATTTAAGCCCAGTTAACTGCTCTCTCTCTCTCTCTCTCTCTCTCTCTCTCTCTCTCTCTCTCTCCTCTTCTTGTGGTTAGGGGGCCCCATAAGCTAGCTTTGTGCTTAAGTTGTGGAGTGTGCTAATTGGAGATTTTTTATTATATCTGTAATCTCTCCTTACTGAGAAAGGGATGGGGAAGTTTGTGGCAGTCATGGTACCTTATAAAGGCATCTTGTAACTTAGACTTTACTCTTGAAGAAAACTTCTTTTGATGTAGTCTTTTACTGTTTACTATTGGGTATAAGTTTATCATTTTGGTCCTTTCTTTCTCTTTTCCCTTTTTCAATGTCCTTTTTCTTAAAATTCTTACCCCATAATTAGAATACAACTTTCTGTTTTTTCGTCAAATTATAATCTGTAGGCCACTAATTTAGCTTGCCCTTTGGCTTACCCATTTCAGCATTGCTTCAGCAAAGGATTTATCATTTTCTATTGGTTTTACTTTCATATACTATTTGTTCAGCAATTTAGCTCCGTAGATTAACATTTTTGACATTTGGATGTTAGGATTTAGAGATTGAGTTCTACTGCTTAGGCCACAAAGTACTTGCTTTGTGGATGAATGGTTTCACATTTGATTACAATAATTCCTCATGGAATCAAAAGATCTACAGGAGTTTTTGGTGTCTTAAAATTTGCAACTAATTCCCAGTATTTCAACATCATCAATAATTTTGCTTTCACGTGTTTGCTCAACTCTCCTATAAAGTTTGATCAGTTGCTTCCTTTTCCTAAATCATTATGCGACATTTGTAAAAGAAACAAACCCAATTTTATTTTCCCTTGTGTTTTATTTTGAGTTCAACACATGTCAGTCTTTCAATTATTAGGCTGATTTTATTTGCTGTCCAAGCCTACTTTTAACTTTTATAAAGTTTGGACTTTTTCTTGGCTCCTATGGTTTTGTAAAGGCAATTGTTAGTGCTCTTAAATGTTATAAATTTTCTGTTGTGAATTGCTGAAATTGGCTTAACTGCCATTTGGATATTGCAAGTATTTAGATTTCAGTAAAGAGGCTATGCAAACTAGAGAAGATATTGAATTCATGTGGGGATTTATGACTCTTGAGCTTGGCTCATTTCTTGTAAATGAAATATGTTGTTCATTATTGTTACTTAAATGAAGTAATTAGGCTTCTTGGGGATTATTCATCGATGCTGACTCTGGTCTTTCTCATCCAGTTTATTGGGGCAACCATGGGCTCATCAGAGCTGCAGATACAAACTGAAACTGGCCACATTGGCATGCCAAGTAATATTTGCTGTGTTGTTGTGGAGTATCTTCCTGGAGGTGCCCTAAAATCTTACCTTATAAAGAACAGAAGAAGAAAGCTAGCGTTCAAAGTAGTTGTTGAGTTGGCTCTTGATCTTGCTAGAGGGTACGCAGCAGTTGTATCCATTTTGTTAACTGTGTTTAATTCTACTTTCACTGTATTGCATTTTGGCAGTTTAAGAGTAATTTCTAGCTTGTTAGTTGTTACTCGACTAATCAAGCATTAGGAATGCACATTGATCATGTGTTGTAGGTTAAGTTACCTTCACTCGCAGAAGATTGTTCACAGAGATGTAAAGACAGAAAACATGCTATTGAACAAGAATCGCACTGTAAAAATTGCAGACTTTGGAGTTGCTCGAGTTGAGGCTTCAAATCCCAATGACATGACTGGGGAGACAGGAACACTTGGCTATATGGCTCCTGAGGTATACAGTTCATTATGTAGTACTTTTATATTTCTTTTAAACCAAAATCAATAGAAACGATTTTCGTGCGTGAAAGATGTGTATTCTGATGTCAGTGCCTCTCTCATGGAGCAAAACATTGTTGCAACTGAAAGAACCTCTGTTTTTCTGCCCCTTCATCTTTCGTCATGTTTTGTGCAATAAAAAGACATATAGTTTTGTCCTGTCTGTAATTATGATTCTTGGACTTACAGGTTCTCAATGGCAATCCATATAATAGGAAATGTGATGTGTATAGTTTTGGCATCTGTCTATGGGAGATATACTGTTGTGACATGCCATATCCTGACCTTAGTTTCTCAGAAATCACTTCAGCCGTTGTCCGACAGGTAGTATCTTCTTTTTTCTATACTAACAATTCTTCTTGCAACACGGGTTTTATTCAAATAAAACAGAAAGAGTAATATATTAAGTCCATAATTTCTTGGTTAATCATTTTCATATGCTGCAGAATTTGAGACCAGAGATACCAAGGTGTTGCCCAAGCTCTTTAGCGAATGTAATGAAGCGATGCTGGGATGCTAATCCGGACAAGCGCCCTGAAATGGATGAAGTTGTTTCCATGCTAGAGGCCATTGACATTTCGAAAGGTGGGGGTATGATCCCTGCCGATCAACAGACCGGTTGTCTGTGTTTCCGAAGGTATCGAGGACCATGAAAATTTTCTTCCTCTGGGCATATATATACGAAGGTGGGGTATTTGATATCCTGCCGATCAACAGACGTGTTGTCTGTGTTTTCCGAAGGTATCCGAGACCATGAAAAATTTCTTTCTCTGTGCATATATATATATTATTATATATATATATATTATATATATATATATGAACAGCTTATATATATATGAACAGCTAGAATATGATTGTTTTGATCTGTGGTGATTGAATTTGTAATTAGCAAGAAGGTAAAGCAAATTTGGAATATAAAATGGTGAAGAATGGATGGTGGTGGATATGGGATTGGAAGCTGTATCAAATCTCACTGTATTGGATGTTGTAAATCTTTTCTTTTGTTACTGTATTTCTTAAATATTTTTTTGGGGTTTTGAGATGTGTATTTATTTGGCTTGCCAATGTAATCAACTGGCATGACCACCTCTTCTCCAACATCACCATTCAAATTGGATGATATTATTTATTACTACCATTATTAAGATAAGATGGTGTACTTTGCCCAATTATACAATTGTTGTCTTATTCTTATTTATGTCTGAAATTTGAATGAAGAAATGAGAGAGACATCTGAATTTCCTTTCACTGCAAGTTGGGACTTAATGTCACTCAATACATCAGCTAACTGAGTTTCAATTTTAAACTAGAAGCCAGTCAGAGTCGGCTATGTGAATTCTTTTCTTTTATTCATCCTGAGATATGTTCATAACAGCGCATAATTCAATGGTTAAATTAATAAAAAAAAAAAAAAAAAGAAATTAAACCCTAGATGCCATTTGAACCTCAGAACTACCATTTGCAGTATGATATTCATCATCATTGTCCCATCGAGTCGTTCTGTAATACGTTGCGTACAGTATAATCTGTATTACTCCTGATATTACTCCCAAACCATTGGGAAGCTATAAAAAAAAAAAAAAAAAAAATATAAAAAAAAAAATAAAAAAAAGATCAGTAATAAATTAATTAATAAAAGAGAAATATAAAATAAGAATGTTATACAATCTTACTAGCAATGTCTGAATATGAATCTAAGTAGTTGCATAGATCACCGCAAAATTATCTCATTAGCTTAAATTAGCAAGAAGAGCATGAGCGGCATGTACTTTGGACGCTTTTTGTCCTTGATCACCAATTTTCTGTAAATAAGAAAAAAAAAAAAAACATCAAATAATATAAATGTACATAGATTTAAATCTAAAGAAAAGAGTAAACAACATTAATTGATTTAACAACATACCAAAAAAAAAAAAAAAAAAAAGATCAAGTTAATTAAATTAATTAATAAAAGAGAAAATAAAATAAAATAAAAGAAATGTATAAAATCTTACCACAATGTTGATATCGAATCTAAGTAGTGCATAGATCACCCAAATTATTCCATTAGCTAAATTAGCAAGAGAGAGCATGAGCGGCATGTACTTGACGCTTTTTGTCTTGATCACCAATTTCTGTAATAAGAAAAAAAAAAAAAAAACATCAAATAATATAAATGTATAGATTAAATTAAAGAAAAAGAAACAAACATTAATTGATTAACACATACCATGACAGTCAATGGAGAAACGTACATAAGAATATTGAGGATAATACACAAAATCCCAACAAATGTAGCTCTTGTCTTGGGAGAACTAAATAGGACCATGGAGATCATAACAACAGCAATCATAATAAGTACTTCAACAGCCAGTACAAGAGCAATCTTACTCTGGAAATTCAACAAAAATAAGATGTATAAAAAATCTGTTTCTATATAGATTGAAGACAGTATGAATCAACGTATAGATACACAGTGAGTGTATATAAATATACTCGTTTCTTATTAGGAGAAAAGATGAAGCAGATGGCGACATAGATGAATTCTATGACTAAACCAATAGCGTTGATTGTGGATACCAAAATGCTATCTTCTTTGACATAAGGTAAGCCATAGAAAGTCCACATTGCACAGTTGAGTACTGTTGCTAGATATGGGTCTGGCTTGAATTCTTGTACTGCCTTTTGCTTTAATATCTTCTTCATCGTCGGTCTGTAAATTGCAATGCATGTGTTTATCATTATTATAGTAGAAACTAGATTTTACATTAAAAAAAAAAAAAAAAACTATATATTGAATTTCAGAAATCCACAATTATTAACTACAGAATTTATTTAAGCCTTAAGAGCAAGAGATTAAGAAGACTTACATGGGAGAAAGAAATAAGCAGAAAGATATAATATTTCCTGTAAAAAGAAATGAAATATTAACAATATAAACAATGTATAAAATAATAACATGACGATTAGGGTTTTGCTTTGCAAGACTAACCGATGATGCCTATAACGGTTCTAACAGTTGCAGTGTCTGTCATCTTTACTTAATTTGCAGCTTTTGATCTGGGAATAATTACTTATTAAGCAAGAACCCTCTTCTTGACAAATGCAAAAACAAAATATAAAAACCCCCTTCTTCTGATTTTGTAAGAACAAGAAGCAGACAAAGAAAAGAAAGTAGAAGAAGAAATGTAATAAATCTGTTATATAAATAATTAAAAACAAGGACTTGGCTGAACGGTGTTGGCGATGGTTGGTTAGTTCGGTTTAGGTTTCACTCTCTCTCCCCTTCTCTATTTATTACGTGTGCTTGACAGTTGCCATGCATGCACGCAACCCTCACACTGGTTTTCATGCATATTTATCAGATCCTTAATTTTCGATCAACCTCTGGTCATATCGGCCAGTTCCCTGCATTAATTTCCTCTGAGAAGTCGACTTTTCATTCTTATCCAAAACATTAGTCTCCGACATTATTTCATACAATCAAATAAAATAGCATATTTAATAGTAAATTTTGTATTTTTTTTTTTTTAAGGATAATTCAGTGTTCAAACAATCCTATATTTGTGCTGTGAACAGAATCGGTCCTAATGTGGCTGATCATTTTCTCCAACTAACTACTGTTATCTTGTTAGATACTTTAGTACGTAGCTTAAAGCAGACATATTTTGTTATTCAAATCTATAATCTTAGGATTAAAAGTGAATTAACTTTGTCATTATACGAAAGTTAAACTCAAATTTTTTATTTTATAAAATTATTAATCTATCTCAATGACTTTTACTGTTGTTTCTATGATCAAAAGGATTTCAGAGTGTTATGCCATAGAATGAAAATATATATTAGTATAGTCACCCAAATGAAACGTAGTGCATTTTTATCTGAGTACCAATCTGCAGTGAACCTAATTTAGAATTGGTTTAGCAAAACGGTTTCAACAGAGAAGCCCATGAGAACAAAAAACACTTGGGTTTATATCTCGGCCCTTAATGAATGGGCCCGCTTAATTCTGGTCACTGGCCCTTTAGGAATTGTCCCACCATTTCTATTTCAACTTTAATAGAAAAAATAATATAAATATAGTACTAATTGTAATTATATATATAGAATTATTTTAAATATTTTTAGGTTACTAATTAAATGGGTAATTGATAATGATATTAAAGTTTTTGAATCTAAACCTGACCCGATCCCATCAAAATTAAATTTGGACGAGCCGAGTAAAATTACCAACTCTGATATCAAATCAAGACTAAAAAATTTTATAATCATTTCAAATAATCTTGTCATTTAAGACGTAAAGAAATACCTTTAACAAGCTAAAAAATCTAAAACAAAACTTGTACATTAATTAATCATGATTCATTGATCATTTCAAATAATCTTTTTGTAACGAGAGATTGATAATAACAGAGTACGTAACTTACGTTATTTCATCCCTTTCTTTTTTTCTCTTTCTTGCTATCTAATAAAACGCCAAACAAACTGCTACAGCTTGATTCTTGAAATTGTTGAGTAAGAAAATAATTATAAATCACTAGAAGAGAACGGTTGAGTACTGATTCCATTACCGCCGCTCCAACACGAAAAATTTATGCGGCATTGTTGTTGCGTTTGAGTGGAAAGTCCGCTGCGGATGAGTTTGGAAAACTATTATCTCCTCCACCCACCAAGGAATCTATCACTGTTTTGCTTGCATATGAGTTGGGTAAATGAAGAAATACAAACAAATTATTAATTTTTTTTAATGTAAATATCATACATAAATACTAATTATTCAGTTAATTAATTAATAGATGTAGGTGTCATGACATAATCATTTTGATAGCAAGGTGTGGATAAAAAATTGGGAGCTAGAAGGTATCATTTGAATTATTGGATGATGTTTTTCTCACTTTTCTTTTTGAATCTTCTGCAGGAATCAAATATTATGAAGAATTATGTCAAACCAAAAAGCATAAAGTTACTAGTTATCTTATTTTTTTTATTGCATTATGTATTTTTTTTAATAACTGAAGGTTTTAAATTTTTAATATTCGATAAAAGTTCATAAAAAAATACAGTTTATTTTTGTTGATTTAATGAACCGCTGTTGGTTTTATAAATCATAATTGAATTTGTATATATGGGTTCAGAGCTAAAAGAGTTTTGTTATAGCTTGTTTGTAGGATGGAAAATGCTTATGGTGTAGTCTAAGAAAAGTAGAAAACAACTCCAATGATTGATGAACTTCTTTCCATTACTAAATTTGAATAAACAATCCGAGGTTAAATGTACTCTGGGAGCTTCCAATTATCTTACCCGTCCAAATACGCAGCATCTGTCTATATGAAAAATGGATGGTCCTGATGCATTTTAAGGCCGTCAAGTAGACTAGGTTAGGTTTCTTTCTCCAACTGTTTCCTTATATATCAATCCTATGGAAAAGTTACAAAATTTAGCGGGATATTGACATTTTTTTTTTTGTTGAAATACAAGAAAGGAAGTAATGAATGATGTTGAATAAGCGTATTTCTCTAATAAAAATATTAATAAAAGAAAAGGAAAGGAAAAAAAACACGTCTATCCTTCAGTTTTCAAGTCAGATTACATGCTAATGATTGAAAAATAGCTTAAATTTTCAATTAACTGATTGCAAAGAAAAAGACTATAACTTTAAATCCAGGCTTCTTAGAATAATAAACAACCGCAATCATCTCCTTTGATGATTGGAATCTAGAACCCGCTTAGAATTTTTCTTCTTGGAGTGAGATATTAAATATCTACCACAATAAGATAAATAGGTGGCAGAGGAAATTGATATGTCTGCTATGTATGTATATATATATATTGGAATGGCTTAAAAACTAAATTTTGGTCTCTGTTTGTAATGAAATATAGTGTCATTAGTAAGCTGTAGATGCTCCCTCAAATTTAGCAACAGAAGAAAACAACAAAGGCCCCACTTGTAACAAGATACCATTTTCAGCTTCTGGTTTGCCCACCAAACTCCATCTTCAATATAACACATGTAAGTACGATTCTTTATCTTTCCTAAAGATTGCTTCTTTTTCTTCTCTCTTTTCTTGAAAACCTTGAAACAAATAGAAGTTCTCTACCAATTTAAGTTGACATATGAGTATCAGATCTTTTGCACAGCTTGTGGTTGTTGAGGTATTTCTTTTGTGAATTCTTGGATTGGTTCTTTCTAGGGTTTTGTAAATACAGATTATGATGATGGAGATTCTAGTATCTGTGATACTACTATTTGTGGGTATAATCATTTTGGTAGTAATTCATATTTATATAGTTGGTAGAGCTTTTAGGAGTGGGTATGAGAATGGTCAGATTATGGTTCCAGGACTTACAAGTAACAATGGAAGCAAAAAGATTTCAAAGGAAGACTTGAAGAATCTTCCATGTTTTGATTACAAGGTTGCAGAGAAAGGAGAAAGTAGCCCTGTGGAATGTGTTATTTGCTTAGGGAATTTCAATGTAGGTGATAAATGCAGATTATTGCCAAATTGCAATCACAGCTTTCATAGTCAATGCATAGATTCGTGGTTAGTGATGGCTCCTATTTGTCCAGTATGCAGAACCGACATTAATCCTCCAGAGACAAGCGTTTCTATTGCTGTTGAGATGGAATTAACATAACAGCAATTGGGTTTTGTTTCAGTCTGTGTATATTAATTACCCATGTCAGCCTGCTTGTAGTTCCTGTAGATGCAATTCTGGTGAATGCCAAGCCTTCAATTTTGCCTTCTGTCTTCTTATTTTTCAACAAATTTTAGATTAATTACTAGTTCTGCTAGTTGTGATCGTTTCAATTTTTAGAAACATGACGTTATAGAAACAGAGCAGATATGGTCTTGGACAAATCTATCCCACTGTTGAGGGACCATTTATGTTTTCTTGTCTTGCTTCTTCTTCAACTTTATGTATACTGTCCAGAAAGGATGATACTTTATGATGCTTTTACACAGTATTATTGTATTAGCAGTCTATTACCTGTTTTTGGTAATAATATTGTTGGATTTTTAGGAATATGGTGACATACAAATCTAGGATTTCTCATGATTTAAGAATATGATTCAGAACAGCTACCATGGGACAAAATTCTTGAAGTTCATGAAATCTGTTCTCTGCTTCAAGTAAAAGAAACATAATTTCCTAACTAAGAAGTGCAATAGGGAGGCAACCAAACATAGCCCCTATTGATGGAGAGTGAAAGATTGATTGATTGATTGTCGGAGGTAAAGGTAAATTAATTTAAAAAAGCGAAGGGTCACTTTCCATTTCATAGCTTAAATTAAATAAAGATACACACGTTGTCTACATCTGATAATCTCAAAAACCAAGGGACAGTTTTAGTTCTAATATAGCCAAATGTCAATAATAGATTTTTTAGTCAAGATTAGCAGTAATCCCATCGGTCTAAAGTATGTAGCCTTCTACCGTACGAAGAAGGTTTCGTAATTCATTGATCCATAAGAATTATTCCTAAATTTTTATCGACAATAATAATGGTAAGCCAAAGGAACAAAAATCTTGAAATGCACAATTGCATAAACAGTGAATCACTATTCTAGTTGCAAGAATATGGACGCTCAATTGCAACAATGAATACACCTATACACAATCTAGCAGCAAGTCTAAATACAACTTAGAAATAAATGGAGGGATATTTTTTGCATAGTCAGAAAAGCAAACCGTTTAAGAAAAAAAATCATTAGCAAGTAAACTTAAACTTTAACCGCAGAAACGACAACAACTAGGTTCCAGAGATTAAAGTTTGAATTGAACTTCTAATCTCACACATTCTTCTCCATGATAAGCACATGAAAATCCACCTGGAGCTCAACACTAACTGATATTACATATAGCAATAGTGACAGACAGTTATCAATAAAAACTCAGTTTTTCTCAGTGCTCTTCTCCAATTCTCTCCTCAGCTGCAGTGAGAAGTCATCATTGACATCATCATCATCCCAATCATCTTCCCACTGTTGTGTCACCTCTTTCCCTTCCTCCTTGTCCTCCCACTCTGTCATTTCATTAGAAACAAACAATAGGATCATCCATAAAATAGTCACAAGTCACAACAAATTAAACATCATATGGAAGACTAGGAAAGGTCAGTTTCAAACGATTAAGATGACCAGAAATAGAAAAAAGATGACAGTTACAAATTGCAGAAAAAAAAAAAAAATAAGGAAAGAGCAACTAGATTGGTGTCAAAATAACACAATGTTCTCACAGTTGTGTTATCAAAATACAATAATACAAACAAGAAAAAACCCTCTGTTTTCTCATTCTTAGTTAGTAGATGATTCTGCTGCATGATTTGTGCACAGTTACAAGGGGAACACCTCGGCAAAATATGTTCAAAGATGTCTTTCTGACTCATTATTTACCAGTTGTCTTAGGGTTCCAAAAGTATATCTATATATATTCAGTCCATTTATGCGAATTCACCAGAAAATTTCACAATATTAATAATTATTCCTACATATTATACTTTCCCATGTCACATTACGCTGCAATAATTGTGCGTCTTTCAACAGTTACAACTAAGAACCTAACCAACTCCATTCCTTAAACTAGTTTTGCAACCAGCTAAATTACCTGAACCATCAACATGAGAACAGCCATATCTTAGAAAATAAATAATTTTAAATCTCCATCTTCATAACTAATTTTAGCTGCAACAGTCCAGAAATCCTTTCCCGGATATGATTTCATTACAAGAATTCCTATTTGGACTTCTAGGGAGTTAGGTATCAGCTATATATAGTAACACAGTGATCCAAAATGAGTAAGCTGCATTACTACATTCACCAATGAGAAGTGTATCATGTAAAGAGAAATAACTTCTTTTAAATTTATCATATATGCTTTGAACCAATCTTGTGGAATTTATCAGTAGACATCGAATTTAATTTAGTTCTTCAAAACCTCAACACAAAAAAGAAAAGGGTAATCACTTAACCCAATTAATTTCGAAAATTACTTAAATCAACGAGCTCGAATACCTCATGCAATAAAGATCAAATTGCATACACGGTTATCACTTACCTTCGTTAATCTCAAACTCTTCAAATTCATCGTCATCCTCGAAGAGGTCCATCTTCACGTCCTCGGTTGCTGCTTTCGGTTCAGTCGCCATATTCACTTCTCACACGAAGTTACTGCTATTGCAATTATATAAGACCGCGTGAATTATAGACAAGTTGCAGTTAGAAATTTATAGAGAAACACTGTTTCCCAAAGGTTGATCAGAATTTACCTGATGACGGGAGAATCTGGCTCGAGAGAGGTCTGAGCGAAACCCTAACTTCGCGGGATTGGGGGTTTTGTTTATTGATTTGTTGAAATAATCGGAAATAAGGAGGAGAATTTTACTTTATTTATGACTATGAATAATGAACGGGTTGAAAAGAAAGAAATAGCAAACGACGACGTCCTTTTAGTACCGTGATGTGTACTTTTTGTTTTTTTATTTTTTACTTCTTTTTCCTTTTTGTTAGTTTCTTTTCTTTTCTCCTCTTCGTAACAAAAATAAAAATAAAAAAAAATTTAAAGTAAATATTTATTGGATAATTCCATTATTTTTTATTTTGAGAGGGAGTAATTCCAGTATTGGTATAATTAAAAGGTTCATTTATATTTTTATAAAATTGACAAAAGCTCTAATTGATTTATTTCCAATTTCATTTTTATTCACTCAAACTGAGAAATCTACTCTTTATTGGGATTCTCATCGCTTAAACCGAGTCTTTAGCCTCAATCATGCATTAAATCAATAAAAATAATATTTTTTGTTAAAATAATGATATTTTTTGACAAACATCCTAAGAAAAAAGGAACAATTTAACACAATTTTTTTACTTTTATGGTTTAATCCACGAATAAGATTATAGATCCGGTTTAGACAAGTAATAATTCCTCCTTATTTATTTGGTTGCACAAATTTTTCGACCATTATTTTTCATTAGTTATAGTGAGGTGTTGCTAATTTGTAACCTCATACACAGAAACAAAAATAAAGAAACAAAAATTGCATCTCACACAATTTTATTACATGTTATTTGTATAATGTAATAAAAAAAAAGAATACAACTACAAACGTATAATATAAATATAATCAACAAACTCAAAATATATATGATATGACACAGTTAGCTCTTACAAAAACCGAGCTAATTGCATAACAGTTCACAATCTATTTACAGAAGAAAATTAAAAAAAAAAAAAAAAAAACAGTATTTTGTTATTAAATTAAAAAAGGGATTCCATAATTTATTATTTTTTTTATTAAAATTTGACACAACAGGACCTCTAATTGATTTTATTTCCAATTTCATTTTTTATTTTTCACTTCAAAACTGAAGTGATTAAAAGGTCTATTTTCTTTATTTGGATTCTCATCGCCTTAAACAACGTTATGGTCTTTAGGCAAGCCTATCAATCTCATAGCAATTAAAATCAATTATAAATACAATAGATATTTTTTGTTAAAAATAATGGGTATATTTAAATTTTGGACCCAAACATGTCTCTCGAAAAGGGAAAAAAGGAACCAAACATTTAACAACAATTTTTTTTAACCTTTTTATGCGGTTTAAAAAATCCTACGATAAAATTATAAGAACTTTTTATAAGAAATTTTTCCGGTTCCAATAGAAGACCCAAGTTTAATAATTCCACAAATCCTTAAAAAATTTTACTTTTGAGTTTGAACAACAAATTTTTTCGACCAATTTATAATTTCCATTTCCAAATTTTTAAAGCCTAATAGTTGGAAAGGGTTGGTTTTATATGGAACTAAATTTTGTAAACCTCATACAATCAGAAAGTAAGAAAAAACAACAAAAAAATAAAAGAAAAACAAATAAAAAAAATTGCATTACTTCACACAATTTTTACTATTTATTACAATTTTTTATTTTGTTAATTAAACCTTTGTAATTATTAAATACTTATAAAAAAGAATACAATATATACTCTCACCCCAAAAATTGGACCGCATACTCTAAAATATAAAAATAAAAATATAATCAACAAACCCCAAATATTATTAAATAAATAAAAATATGACACAAATATAGCTCTTTTTTACCCAAAAAAACAAAACCAAGAAAAGCTTAATTAGAAACATATTAACTAAGTTATTTTTCTTATCTAATTCTACAAATTTTACAAGAATGAAAATATTTAAAAATAAAAAAAAAACATAACAAACAAAAATTAGAGGAACCAGAAGAGCCACCCGAACGATGAGCTTTTTGCCCGTTTTCTCAACAGTGTGAAGCAAGGTAAGGCAAAACAAGTTCTCTGGTAAAAACTTGTTTCCGATGATAGAAATTTATTTGTTTAAAAATTAAATCTTGATAAAGGAAGAGCTGGGGCCCTTTGCTACTGGCAGTTTTGTGAATTGCCAAATCAGTGTTTAGGATGTTGAAAAATTAATTGAAACCTCATAAGAGGCAGAAAGTGTCCTTCGCTATACGCTTGCAAAACCCATCTTGAAACACAAAACCTCCATTTTACCTCACACCAAAGCTAAATTAAAAAAAAAAAAAAAAAGGAACAGAATCACCGAACATGAGCTTGCCGTTCACATTGAGCAGAAGCAACAGTTCCTGAAGAACTTGTTTCATGAAATTTATGTAAAATCTTTATAAGAGAGCTGGCTTTGCTACTGGCATTTGAAGTTCCATCAGTTAGGAGTGAATATAATGAACTCATAAGAGCAGAGTCCTTCGCTAATACTTCAACCACTTGAACACCTCCATTTTTACACAAAGCTAATAATATCGATACACAGTACTCTTTTCCAACCCTAGAAGGTAAAGATTGCAGTATTTTCAAAATTATTAGTAAACCTGAATTTTGTAATATTGTTAATGAACCATCAATACTACTTTCAGCTAAAGCTGCAATTACTGCAAGTGAATCAGCTATAAGTTCATCTTTATCCGAAGAACGAAGAAGATCTATAAGTAATGGAATAATACCAGATGCCAATACCTTCTGGTGATTTCCAGGATGGAGAAGTAGCGCGAAAATAGCTGCAACTGCATTCTTTTTTCCATTAGTCGGCTTATCTTTAATTAGCTCCACTAATGCTGGAATTGCTTCAGGTGTTTCACCGATTAATTTTCGATGACCTTTTATTGAAGCTAAGTAAAAAATTGTTGCAGCTGCTATTTGCTTCGCTTCATAGCTTAATCCCTTTATAAGTACTGCAATGATGGGTTTTAAGCCTCCACTATCAATTATTAGCTTCTTGCCATTAGTATGTTTGGAAAGCTTTAATAAAGCTCCAATGGCATTTTCTTGGATAGAGTTATCTGGACGAGAAGATAAAAGATTTATTAGAGGTAGAATTGTGCCTGCATCGATCAAACAACATCTGTTGAATATGTTTGATTTTGCAAGTAATCTGATTTCATAAGCAGCCTTGTTTTTTTCGTCGCGTGACCCAAAAACCAGTCTTCTTGCAAGATATCTAGAGAGGAATTTCATAGCTTCTGCGGCTGCAGGACTTCCTGGAATTATTGTTCTTGTTATATCGCGATTTCTGTTTCCTGATTTAGTTAATGAAATGCCGTTGTCGTTGCAGAACTGTTGGATTAGCTTTCGCAGAGTTGTATTTGGTACTAGCTCTGTATTCTTCAGCTTCTCCCCTGTTTTGGGACACAGCATGTTTCCTGCTTTAAACCATTTTTCTATTGAAGAACGATCGTAAGTCTGACCTGTTGATACAGTAACAGGATCAGTCATTATCTCAAGTGAAATTGGGCACCGAAAATCTTCTGGATTTAAGCAACTAAGAGTTTCCGTGTTGCATTTCATATCGATGTGATCCGTAATTCGATTATCCAATTTCTCGAAAATAACACCCCTGCAGTAGCTCATTAACCCTAATAAACTACTCAAAAATGGAACTTCTTTTTCATCACAATCTGAGCATTGAAAAATAATCTCTTCTTCTAAGAACTTAATTTCCTTAAAACAATCACTCCAACTTCTAATCTCTAAATAATCAAGAACCCGCTTAACAAAGCTGCAATCACACTCAATTCCTTTTTCAAAATAATTCAAAATCATAACTACTTGTTTTGAAGCCCATTCATCTTCAGGGTCTAGCTCGAATTTGGCTTTTCGAGCTTGTCTTGCTACTAATTCAACTAATTCCTTCACTTCACCTCCTACATCAATCAAATTCAATGGCAATACATCAAGTGCAGTAGCAATAGCTCGAACCAGAACTCGAAATTGAGTGGCAATAAATTCTGACTTCATTAAAATCCATAGCTTTGCTCCTTCACACGTGCAATCCTCTAATAAGAATTGGATTTTTTGACACGTAAGATGGAGCTCAGAAAAGGAAAGAACAACTGAGTCGGGAAGAATCAATTCACGATCTCTAATTTCCTCGAAGAATATAAGAAATATGCCAATTTGTCTAATGGCTTCGCGCGCATTTCTCCTTTGTGTAGAGAAAAACTTTGACTGGTAATTGCATATGTTTTGTGAAAGAGAGATTAAAGAGCTCAAAAGGGTAGCCGGAGAAATGCCTTCACAAGGATGAACTGCCGGAAACGTTAGAATCCGGCGATCGGTCCGGTTGAATCTATTAATCATTTGAAGAAATTAATAAAGGATGAAGGAAAAACAGATGTGTGTATACTCCTATGCTTTCGGTTTTGTTTTGTTTGAAGTTTTATGAAACAGAAAGGATTCAGTTAGTCCAAATATAGTAGGGGAGTATCTGAAAAATCTTTCTGGACACGTGGCGTGAGATGCAATTTGGAATGATGAGTTAACGGCCAGATGTGGTTCTACATGACATGTGTACATAGAGTTTTGGCCAAGAGGCTGCTTCCTTTGAATCCCGATACTGTACGGACAGTTTATCCTAGTTGATGATACTTATGTGGGGCCCACAAGCCGACTATGAAACGTGGGCTAATAAAAATGCGACATGTTACTTGGGAAACGGGGGATGTCATTGTATTCAACGTTACTTGGTATGCAGGGGATTGCTAGATTTTTCTTTCTCTCTTCCTTTTTTTTTTTTTTTTTTTTTTTTTTATAAGGTATGAAGGAATAAAAAACCAGATGTGTGTATATCTTTTGTTCCTTTATTGCTTTCGGTTTGGTTCTCGTTTTGAAGTTTTATGGAAAAACAGGGAAAAGGGATTTTTCAGTTAGTCCCAAAGTATAAATTAGGGAAGTATCTGAAAAAATCTATTTCTGGACACCCGTGGCGTGAAAGAAAATATGCAATTTTGGGGGGGCAATGATTGAGTTAAACGGGGCAGATTGTGGTTCTAACATGAACATGTGTACATAGAGGCTTTTGGCCAAGAGGCTGCTTTCCTTTGAATTTCCCGATACTGTTACGGGACCAGTGTTATCCTAGTTGGATGATTATCTTATGTGGGCCCCACCAAAGCCGGACTATTTTGAAAAACCGTTTGGGTGTGCTTAATAAATTATAAGTAATGCGGAACATGTTACTTGCGGAAACCACTGGGCTTGAATTTGTCTAATTTGTTAGTTTCAACGTTACCTTTGGTATGCAGGGGATGGGTGTGCTAGAAATTTTAATTTCTTTTTCTTCTCTTCCTTTTTTTTTTTTGGTTTTTTTTTTTTTTTTTTTCAAAAAACAATATTTAAAAGAAGGGAATATCTAAATGAAAAGGCTATTAATTTATTATATTTAATACCAAAATAATAAAGAAAAAAATTGAGATTCAATAAACTATCTATTAATTTATCCAATAAAATATTCTTAAATTGACTGTATAATTTATTTAGGGAACCCAAAAATTCCAAAACTCTATGTTTTTATTAATTTATAAAACAGGAAGTATACTCGAGAATTATTATTGCTTATGTTTTTGGGGAAAATGAAATTACCATATTAATTGGTTTTAGCTATTACGCGGAAGAAAAAAAGGAAACTTGTTGCATTTCAAAGGGGCATTATTAAGGAGGGACTGTTTGTAATTTACGAAAAATTGGATGCTCCATATACAAGCTTGGCAACCCAAAGAATATAGATATAAAGTTAAATATTTCAAAAATTTCAATGCCATGAATTTTAAAACTATTTATTTCAATATATCTTTAATTTCACATCTTAGGCCGATAAGAATCAGTCCAAACCCCCAATTATAATTAAAAAAAAATTTTGAACCTCTAAAAATCACGGAATTTCAAAAATGAAATAAAAAATAAATGTACTTAAGGGATCCAAAGCGTCAAGCGTGGAAATGAAAATAACTAAGTTAACGAAACAAGGAATTTATAGGGGGAAGACATATAAACTAGCTGTCGGGTTTCTTAACAACTAATTAACCAACCAAGATATGGGATAAATTTTCCTAACGGTTCCAAAAAGGCTAAAACCGATGACCAAACTGTTTTCATTGTTCTTGACTTGGCCGCGGGGCCTCTGACTTAAAGAAATCTTAACAAAACAAAACATTATCTCTCTTTTTTATTTATTGTTGAAACAACGAGAGGAAAATAAATTGTATTTTTCTTAGGAAATTTTCTAAATTTAAAATTCCCAACAAAAAATTAAAAAAGAAATCAAAAGGTTGAAGCTGGGCTTGAATTTAAGTCATGGTCGATTCATTGCACGGTGTCACACCTTTGGATTGGGAGTGTTTATAGGCTCCACTAATTGGGACTTTCTTAATTACTTTAGGCTACAAAATTATATCTTATTTTAATTTATTTATTAGTACAAACAAATTAAAGAATTTGATTGTTTGGAACTTAATGATTTTAAAGGACAAGGGAAATATTCTTGAAAACGTGGACCAATCAGTTTCTGGACTAAGTAGTTTTTTTTTTTTTTTTTTTTTTTTTTCAAACAAATTAGAAACTATGAAGCTATAATTATTATATTTAATACAAATAAGAAAAAATTGAGAAAACTATATTAATTACCCATAAATATTCTTAAATTGACTTATAATTATAGACAAATCAACTATGTTTATATTTATAAACAGGAGAGAATTATATTGCTTATTTTTGACTGAAATTACATATTATTGTTTAGTATACGGAAGAAACTTGTTGCATTCAAGGCATATTAAGACTGTTAAACGAATTGATGTCCAAGCTTGCAACCAAAGAATATAGATATAAGTAAATATTTCAATCAATGCATTGAATTTAAACTATTTCAATCAATATATAATTTCACATCAGGCGATAAGATCAGTCCACCCAAATTATAATTAAAAAAAAATTTGAACTCTAAAATCACGAATTCAAAAATGGAAATAAAAAAATGTACTTGGGATCCAAAGTCAACTGAAAGAATAACTAAGTTAACGACAAGGAAGTTATGGGGACATATAAAAGTGTCGGTTCACACTAATTAACAACAGATATGGAAATTCTGGTCCAAAGCTACATGACCAAACTGTTCATGTTCTTGACTTGGCGGCCCTGCTTAAGAAACTCCAAACAAACATATCTCTTTTTATTATTGTTGAAACGAAGAATAATTTATTTCTAGAATTTTCTAATTAAATTCCAACAAAAATAAAAAAGAAAATCAAAGTGATCTGGCTTGAATTAGTCATGTCATTCATGCACGTTCACACTTGGATTGGAGTGTTTAGCTCACTAATGACTCTTAATTACTTGTGGCTACAAATTATCTTATTGTTATTATTTATTAGTACAAACAAATTAAAGAATGATGTTGACTATGATTAAGACAAGGAAATATCTTGGAACGTGGACCAATCAGTTTTGGACTAGTAGTACGCGGTTATTATCTCTACATCTAAATAATTTAGGAGTGATTAAGCCAAAGTTTATTATATATTATTATTATTATTGTGAAATCTTTACTTTACATGAATTTGAAGCTTCTTGTGTGTACGTTCATGGGGTTTGTACGTGTCATGTGAAAACTCTTTGGATTTAAGAGGCCCACAAGCAATATTCCAAAAACAACAATAGCCTCTCCTTTCCCCTCCCAATTTTCTTTTTCTTTTTTTCCTTTATTTCTTGAAAGTTCAGCTCAAAATCATTATTTTATAGATAAAGTTTGAATAAAAGTATAATTTAATTTGCTGATTTAAATTTTTTAATAGTTATCGATCATCTTAATAACTTCAATGTTTAATTAGTGTTGCGTCAAAATATTAAAGGGAGTCGTGAGATAAGATTTATTTAATTACATCTATCGTATGGATAGTCTCATACGTTAGATTAGTTAAAATAATTTTTTTAAAAAAAATATTATTTTTTTAATTCTTTTTTTCTCAGTGTATATCAAAAATCCATCATTTAAATTAATTATTTATGATTGGTTTGGTATATAAATATGTCTATACACGGAGTATAAGTGAGTCCTTTTTTGAGTTACATTTCATAATTCATTTTCTCAAAATCTAAACACTAGTATAACATTGATTTTATTCGTAAATTAGTTATTTTGGCAGCTGTTAGCTGTTTTAATAGCGTTTAATTATTAATTGTTTAAATAGATTTTCACTAATCGTGAAAAGCTAAAAGTTAGATGAGTTAACTTTTCACAAAAAAATATTCCAACCTCTAAAAACTAATTGAAATACTACGTTACCCAATAACTTTTTAAATAGCGTTTAGCGTTTTAGTCAATCAAAAAGCTACTTAAAAATTTATTGTCGAAGGCAACTGTTATTTGACTAATCAAGATAAATAAAAGATATGGTGTTTTAATTAAAATTAAAACACTAATTGCTATATGAAAAATTGTTGGAAAAGAGAGGCTTGCTAATTTTTTTTCTCCATAGATTTTATGGCTATGTTTATGACCCTTAAACACAATCTTGTTATTTTAATTATCCTTGACATGTATTTTCTTCATTGTTTAGCAAATAAATTTTTCAATAAGAATTATTAATATATAGTCATACTTTTATTTTTGGTATCATTGTTCAATCCTTCTATACATAGAAATATACAATACACATATATCCACGTCCCCTTCATTTAACATATTAAATGTGTGATATTGACTCGTCTTTCAATTTTAATTTCAGATGTATTGACTACTCAACATTAGTACTTCTATATATTTTTTTTATTTATTTTTTATTGTTTTGATTCTTTGATTTGGAAGTTGAGCTGTCACTTCGACTCCAACAGGCAATAGCTGTGAATTTCAGAATTCAGACACTTTGTGTCTCGTTAAACCTTTAGGATGCATGGAGATTCTAAAATGTTTAACAAGAAGAAATTATATTATTCACTGGACAAACCGCATATTAAATATGGCAAGAAATATAAATGTTTTGAAAAATTTTAAGTTTATTAATTGAAAAATAAAAATAATTCAATTTTAATTAATTGCGTTATACTATAAGGTACATATCCGATGTGTTATAAATATAATATATTCAATTATTTTATAATAAATATTTTAATTTATTTAGTTAACAATTATTTTACACCATTAAATATAATTTATTATCAAATGTAATATAAGATTTAGCGTTTGCTATAAAATAGAAAATAAAACTCAAATAGAAATATACATACACATAAAATTCTGATATAAACAAGTTATGTAGCAAACTATATAATATATTATTTTACAAAATAAAAACCGCAAATATAATTGTATGCTGATAGATTTTAGCAAGAAGTAAAAAGAAATATTAAAATTATAAATGATATTGTAAAATAACGACTAATATATTAATTATTATTTTACTTCTTTTTTTTGAAAAATTATTGTGTATTGTGTACTTGTAATGTCTTGCATCCATGCAACTTTAGGGTGGGCACAGTGTTGGAGTATGTGAGTAATCCCACGTCGGATAAATACAATTAAGTAAAATAGCATATAACGTGAAAATGAACCAATTAAAAAGACTTAGGTCATTTTGTATTAAAAATAAACCCAACATATTATAAGCTTAATATTAAATAATTAATTAAATTTGATTTGATTAATTGCTTAGGCCCAGATTCTCATCACGCAGATATGAAAAATGTCGAACTAAAGAAGTTCAGTGCTGCTTGTCATTATTAAGTATAATCGATTATTTTATTATTGTTGGTTGAACACCAAATGATATGTGAGATACGTTAATGCCAAACGACATAATTTGACTTGGACGACCACGCTATTTGAGCAAATTGTCGTCACGAGAAACCCATTGATAAACTTTTTGCAGTCATCACTTACATTACAACGACCGCGTCTTGTTATGATTGGCCATTTGGCCTACAAGCCGTTCAACGACAGCGTATAAACGCAGACGACAAACCACAGCGGCGGAGCGCGCGGTTCATTTCTTAGATGGACCATCCTCTGCGGATGGCTTTCCATGCACGCCAATGTTGGTAGAGAGCAAATTTGAGCATGACAATTACTAATCAAGAAAGGCCTTCAAAAAGGATGGTAAATTTTATTTATCTGAGAGGTTAGGTATAGACAAACAAAACAAGTACAGTTCTTTACACTACAGTGCAAACCTCACATCACCTTATAAATACATGGAGTAAAAAACCAGGAAAAGAGAAACAGAGTAGTGGATTTACGAATTTACAACCAAGCCGGATTCTTTAAAGGAGTAACAACAGCTTTAACTTGCAAGTAGTTATTAAGGCTGTAGATACCTTTTTCCCTGCCAAAACCACTCATCTTATAACCACCAAAAGGAATTGCTGCATCGAAGACATCAAAGCAGTTAACCCACACTGTTCCTGCCCTCAATGCTCTTGACAAGGTATTGGCAGTATCAATGTTCTTTGTGAAAACTCCTGCAGCCAATCCATAGCGGGAACTATTTGCCCTTCTTATTACTTCATCAACATCCCTGGTAGAGACAGTGGAAATCAATGAATAATTGATTCCAGGTAACAAATTTTCTTTGGCAAGTTTGCATTTTAGGTAACAAATTTGAACCTACTTGAACTTCAAGATTGATTGCACTGGACCAAAGATCTCATCTTTTGCTATCAACATATCTTCCTGTTTGATGACAACGTTATAAGTATTATAAATGATCACAGAAAAAAAAAAAGAGGGATTTTATACCCATAATACCTGAACATTCGAGAAAACAGTGGGCTGGATAAAGTAGCCCTTGGAGCCAAGCCTTTCACCTCCACATTCGAGTTTACCATTGCTTTCAATGCCAGATTTTATATACCTCAGGACCTTCTGAAATTGCTCATCATCGATCTGGACAGTTTACAAGGTCCAATAGAACAACATTACTTGACAGCTCTAAGCAATCAATGGATATAGTCACCATTCCAAATTTCCAATTACCTGAGGGCCTTGTTCAACACCCTTCTTAAAGGGATCACCAACAACACGTCTCACAGCACGTGCCTTTGCTTTCTCTACAAACTCATCATACACGCGCTCGTGTACATACGTACGAGACCCAGCACAACAACATTGGCCCTGTAGATAATAAGCGCATGGGCAACACAGATTTTTGTGGAAGTGATTAAATTTGAAAGGCAAACCTGATTAAAGAACAAGGCAAAGTGTGCAAGCTCCACAGCCTTGTCAATATCAGCATCTTCGCATACTATGAAAGGTGATTTCCCTCCAAGTTCTAATGTAACTGGCTTAAGATTACTTTTAGCAGCCAATTCGAGGATAACCTTGCCTGTCTCAGTTGATCCTGTGAAAGAAATCTGTACAGGAAATGGTGACAGTATCAATTACTGGTATTCTGAAGTATGTCTGAAGACAGACTTAATACTGCAGTCCATATTATCTATGCAACAATGAAAGCCCTGGAACTTCCACAGTCCACTGAAATTGAAGATGAGGTTAAAGTAGAAACAATTTCCAGGAGAAAAGTTAGTGAAAAATGAAATATATTCTATCAATGCCATGAAGTATGTAACCATAACAGGGATTCAAATTCCCAAGATAGCAAGAAATAAATTAAGCATGACATAAAGATTGTAAAATACCTTGTCTACATCCATGTGACTGGCAAGAGCTGAACCAGCAGTTGGACCATAGCCTGAAACTACATTCAGAACACCTGGAGGAAGGCCAGCCTGTCATACAGGATGGATAAGCATTAGATTTCAAAAAAATGAAAAATATGTGAAATTTTGACCATTTTAAACCATCAATAGAAAAATCAGACATGTTTTAACCATTTTCCTCCTTCTTTAAGGAATATCCAAGCAGATAAATAAGTACCTTCTTCAATTTTATCAATGTATAATTTTCAAGGTCTACATTTCTACTTTCACATTTAGTCTAGAAAACCATAGTGCATATGATTTTGAAATCGTACATCATGGAAGAGCTTTCCTGCATAGAGAGCAGTAAGAGGTGTCTGTTCTGCTGTTTTCAGTACAATAGTATTACCACAAGCTAATGCAGGACCAACTTTCCAAGCAAACAAGATAAGAGGAAAATTCCATGGAATAATTTGCCCTGCAACTCCAATAGGTTCATGCAATACTTGAATATGGTGATTACTGTCTCCAGGAACTGTTAGCCCATGAATCTTATCCGCCCAACCTGCAAAAATTAAGAATAAAATCATTCTAAGCTATAATACACAAAGAAAACATTCAACCACCGCAAGCATTTTAGGAATCCTACCAGCATAGTAACGAAATAAACGCGCTAACATGGGTAACTCAGATTTAGCAGACTGTTCATAAGGCTTCCCATTATTCCATGTCTCTAAAGCTGCAAGCTCATCGTTGTGCTTCTCAACTAAATCAGCAAAACGCAACAGAATCCGTGACCTTTCCTGAAACAAAACCCCCATTTAAACAAATTAAAACACAAAATAATTGATGGTGTAATGTATTAAAGAAACAAGGCATATAACTTCTTACATAAGGGGTCATTTTTGGCCAGGGTCCTTCATCAAACGCTTTGCGAGCAGCTGCTACTGCCCTGTCTATATCTTCAGCATCACCTTCAGCTACATGAGCAATCACTTCTCCAGTACGAGGATCATATGCAGGAAACGTTTTCCCTGCAATTAGTTGGTGTAAGTATTGATCATTTTCTACTGAAAAGGAATTGAACTGTTGTTTTTTGAACAAAGAATTACCAGATGCTGCATCAACAAATTTCCCATTAATTAGATTCTGGGTGTATCTTATTTGAACAGGTGGAGTGATTGGTTCCTCAGCTACTGAAGCAGTGCTAAACCTGCATATGCTTTGAGCCCTGCTTGGATTTCTTCCTAAAGAATCAAATTTGAAGCACGAATGCATATTAATCTTGATGTCCCCATAATCTAAAATCTAAATTAAAAGAAAATTTTAGAAAAAATTTTGATGTTAAAAGGATATGAATCCTATAAAAAAATAGTTGCCTAATTTATAAGTGCAATTAAGTCCATCAGCCTTGAATAAAGGTCAAACACTCATTTTCCCTGTGCCAAATATAATAAAATTAATGAAAACAGAGGTATGCAATAGAATCACAAAGTTCTCGATGCTTCAGATCTTTCTGAAACTAAGGAAAAGAAACATACTTCATAACCCAACCCAACAACAGTTGAAGTGTAAAAAACCCAAAATGCTTTTTTTCTTTTCACCAACTTTCTTGTTACCAAACAAAGGCATCACAAAATTTTGTCCGAAGGATTCTAAAAATAAGGATAAGCATATTAAATTGGATGACTTTCGGGAATTTTCTTTATAGTATGTCAAAAAAATTTAAAGTCTACCAAATAACAGTATAAAGAAACATTGCAATGAAACCAAATGAAGAATTAAACAGTGGAACACTGCATGTATCACCATTATCAAGAATAGATAAGTCCATGAATGAAAGAAACTTATTCAAGCAAGACAATAAGAGAAAAGTAGAGTGCTCACCTAGAGAAAGCAGAAGAGAAGAAGAAGAAGAGGAAAGAGAAACAGAGAGAGAACGGGAGATTAAGGAAGATATCCTGCGAGCTGCCATGGCCTCTGTTACCGAGAGTTTATCTTGATCTCTCTCTCTTCTTATATTGGCTATTGTTATCTTCCAACACCTGTTTTTTAACTTGTCTCCTTCCTCCACTACCACTGACACGTTTCCAAAGTTCAGGGATTTTTTTTTTTTTTTTTTTTTTTTCTAGTTTATGGGATGTTTTTTTCAGGGATTTTTTTTTTTTTTTTTTTTGAAGGGAAAGTTACGGGTTAATTCTTAAGTAAATTGGTGATCAAATATTTTTTTATTAGTTTGCAAATGTTTTTTGTACATAATTTATTCGTGCCTTCCGTACATAATGACTGAATTAAGTAATGTTTAAGATAGATAAAACGTTTTACCTGAAACGATAATGATTGCTACAAGCAACAAAAGTCAAAGCCATAATAAAGATTCAAACATAATTTAAAAGTGTAAAAAATATAATGTGAATTTTACTAATCAACAAGAAATATTAAATATTAAAATATTTATTTTGTATATATATCTTACTTTTTAATGAAAAAAAATGATCTATCATTATAGCTGTAAATAAATTAAATAACTCGGCCGAACATTGTCTCTAACTCAATATTCAAAACCACCTAAATTCTAAATTTAAAATTTAAAAAAAAAAAAGTGAATAAACTAAAGAAAAGAAATAACAAGGTGTCTGCACTATACAATTATTTTTCCTTCATAATTATCCAGATGCTATATTTTCCTTCATAATTATCGAATACTATAGTATATATGTTATATATATTCTTCTGTATATTATATATAAGTTATGCTCAGATTAGTATATGTTTAGTGGCTGTCTGTATGTTACTGTCTCTTTCTTATGTATGATTAATCAAGTATAAGTTTAATCAATTTATTAACATACTCAATATCTTCATGATCGCCATAGAAATCAGGTCTCTGGTTTAAAAAACTAGGCATTTTCAAGGTTAGAATCATCGGGAATCAGTCGATTTGCCTTTAGTCTCCTTTTTATTGTTATTTGCACATATTTTGATACAAGAAATGTAGCGCCATAGATGTTGTGCATTGTTTGCTATTAATCCATTGTGATGATCCTTCACTACGTATATAATTCATTAGATCTCTCTCGTTCTATATATATATGCTAGATTATGGTATATGTATGTACTTCCTTTCTATAGAATTAATCAATAAAGTTTATCAATATTATACAACTCAACTATCTTCATGATCGCCATAGAAATCAGGTTCTTCTGGTTTAAAAAACTTAGGCATTTTCAAGGTAGAATCATCGGGAACCAGCGTATGTTGCTTAGTCATTCCTCTTCTTGTATTTGCAGCAAATTTTGAAGCAAGAAATGTAACCCCAAGATGTTGTGCATTGTTTGCATTATCCATTGATGATCCTTCACCACCATCATCATAATCCTCCTCTCCATCCATAGCTTGAGCATAAAATAAACTCTCTTGCCTTGCTAATTCCAATTGCAGTTTCCTTCTCTTCAACCTTCTCCATGCAGTTTGTATATAACAAGCTCCCCAAGTCCGCCATTGATGCGAGTAATATCTAAAAGCATGTTGCAGCTTTTTACTATGCAAACGTTTAAATTGTTTAGCTACAAATTTTAGATCTTCTGCTCTAAGTGCAAAGGCCTCAACTTCACTTAGTGCTTTAACAGTTCGAGTTGATAATGGTAGGTTTAACCGAGATGTTGGCATTAATGCCCATGTCAATAACTCTTCACCACAGAAATCACCTGGCCGTAATGTAATAGAGTTGAAAAAACCAGACCTTCCGCCATTAGTGGTCGAGCTTTCTAATTGTCCTCTAATAATGAAAAGCATTTCGTTTACTGGATCTCCTTCTCTAACAATATATGTATCTCTTGTGTTTAGAGACGAAACGAGGCGTTCGCATATTGCATCCAGTAGCTGATCATCCATTTGTGCGAAAAATGGAACCTGCAGAACAGAGAACAAGAAAATTAGTTTCATATTCTTGATTCTTGATTCTTGATTCTTGATTCTAATTAACTACTCACTCGTCGAACAAGAGCCAGACAAAGATGTCTTTGGATTTGGCGTCTCAAGTCTAAAGGTAAAGCTTTCAAGATAGATTCTTCATCTACACCTCTTGTGGCTATCCATTTATACTGGACAAAACGTCGAACTCGTTCTTGCAATTCTAGTGGTAATTGACGGTGGCTCATCCATTCCTCAGTGTCTCTTCTCCGAATCCTCCATTCTTCTAGTCTAGCAGTTGTAGATTGCATATATGTCTTCATGAAAACAAATAAATTTTTTTTCCTTTTAATTCAATCACCAATTTCTTTCGAAAAATAAATTCAAAGAAGCAAATAATTGATATAAATACCTGCATATTTCCTATGAGATGTGCAAACAAAACTAGACCCATAATGCAAATACCAATACTGAATAATAATTCACCTTCATGAGTACTTGCCATCAAATTCTGCCCATATGAACTGCAATTAATATTCACAAAAAAAATTAAATTAAATGTGAAAATTTAAGACAAACAGACAATGGAGTTAACAAATACATATGTACCTTAGATTTCTTAAGCCCCACCAAAGGCAATAGAAATATTTATCAATGAAATCTGCTTCACCAACATGATTAATAAAGGCATCAGCAAACATTCCAAACTGGAAATGTTCATCATTTCTAGCATCGCAACTAGTGAGCAAGTGGGTAACTCTAAGCCAAGCATCGCGTTCTGGGGTATCTCTTGTAGTACAATCAAGAAACAAAGGGTTACAAGAAGGAGAATGTGTGTGATTTTTCTCTATTTCGCATTGTATGTCCCAACACTCATGTTGCCTTTGTATTGATGCCAGATACCATGAGGCTCCCAATATCTGTACTGACAATCAAAAACCATTTAACCTTTAAAAAAAATTAAGAAAAAATTTCATAGTTCCTCCCAATTGAGAATGCTTACATGGCTAGCAAGAACATAAAGTACAAGATTATATGCAGCTCCTGACCAAGCTGTCTTGGCGACTGCTCCGGTAGTTTTAACGATCCGGCGATTTAGAGGAATCACAGCCAGAATACGAGGAATGTATTGAAATAAAACTACTAAAGAAACTGTGTGCTTAGCATGATTAGCCGAAGGAGTTTTCACGGCTGGAATTACAAACCAAATTATAACCTGTAAAGAAAAGAAATGATAAATTATATGAAATATGAAATGAATTGTTATAAAATTAAATATTATAATTAACCTGAGGAAGAGGAAGAGCAGCAGTGAAATCGATGACGAAGCGAGTTTTCAAGTATTGTATGGCAATGGCTTTAGGGTCTCTAACGAGCTCTCCTCTTCCAAAAACGCGGGAACTTGGGGCTACGAATGCTGTTCTAAACTTAACAATGACGTGCATGATAAAGAACAAGTCGGTGACGGTGCGAGCTAACGTGACCCAAACACCTAAAGGAAAGTCGATGTCCATGCAAGCGTCGCCGCCGATCACCGGAAGATAGAAATAGATTGGGTCTAAAAACATGGCGACCATAAAAGTAAACAGAATAATGTGATTCCATCTGTTAATAAAGTCGCTTCCCGGATCGAGGATTTGGTACCACCAGGGGACCTTTCGCCGGAGAGAAAAGCCTGCAGGAAAGCCACGGAAACGGGCGGAGGCGTAATAATGGAGGTTATTCATTATTTTCCATTTAAAAAAAGAGGAACCAAAGTTTAACTACATTAGAAAGAAAAAAAAGCCGGTTACTGGTTTTGATAGATTTGTGGAGAGCCATCGGCAAAAATTGAGGTACCTTAAAAACCTGCAAGTCGGATCAAATTATTTTCTTGGTTTTTCTTATGCATTCATTTTGTCTTAATATTTTTATTAATTTTTTCCATCTGTCTTATTTATTTAATTAACATAAAGTATATACACTAATTTTAAAATTAAAAAAAAAAAAAAGAGAGAGAAATTTCATTAAGCATAACCTAAATCAAATACAAGAAAGGCTTCAATATTAAGAGGAAGTAAAACTATATATGATAACTCTAATTATTGCTTTAATGTCGGTAAACCCTGATAAAAAGAAGATAAATACATAAATAAATATATTGGAGGAAGAGAAAACAGTAGAAAAATATGAATGTGTGTGCCATAAATGAAAGAATAATGGTGAAGTGGTAATGAGTGAATATACTGTTCACTTGCAAGAGTATATATATAGAAAGTGAAAAGGGATGTTTTATTTGATTGGGTAATGAATATTGTTAGAAGAAAATTAATTAAAATGGGATCCACAACAATCAAATTTTGGCAGCATAATCATTAACATTGTTTGCAATATTGCCAATCAAACAGAAACAACAATTATTAAATGTACAGACAAAAATTGAATTTTTTTTATTGATTACGACGTATTTAGATCGAAATGATATTACGGATAAATTTTCTTATAATAGAGAGAACTCAAATTTGAGACTTCTCGCTCTTTATAACACATATGATCGATAAAATTAAATGTTCTTTTTAAAAGAACATATAGTGTTATACTAATTAAACTTTATAAAATTAAGGTGGCTTACCATTGGAGCAACGTGTTATTGGTTGTTAGGGTTTTTCTTAATGTTAGGTTAGGTTATGAATTTTGGGTTTTTGAGAATTAATGTAGGTAAAGAGAACATCTTTGTCCATTAGTGGTAAACCTATAGGCATACATAGATGAACAAAGTGTGAAAAGGAAGTGGGGATAATACGGGTTAAAGTGTTGAGCTTTTTTTTTTATAATTTCTACTTTGATGAATCCAATCCAAATAATTAAGATTGAAAGTATTTTGACCAACAAATTTTAAAAGTTTAATGACACAATAATAGCATTTTTGGAGAAACAACAAGAAAACCCCATTAATACAAATCACGTGGAGTACTTGCATTGTGTTGCCCTAATTACCCATTTTAAATCACCAATCCACAAACAACACCAAATCTTTCATAAGACAAAAAGTAGTATTCTCCATGTGAAATATGCATAAGAAAGCTTTTCAAAAGAAAAGAAAAACTTTCACCAATTCTTGCTTTTCAGGCGCAGGATATATTAGTTCACATTCGCATTGAGTGGAAATAAGTAATCCATTTCATATTGCAAATGCAAATGGACTGACTCTTTGGATAAATAATAATAATATGAGCAATCGTCTTGATTAATTTGTTTTTGCGAGTGCAAAATTAATTTTGAAAGTCAAAATGTGGAAGTCACGACATATTATCTTGAAAAAGAAAATCCAACAGAAATTAATTTGAAGTTTTGAACTGATCTTGAACAATCCGGAACAATGAATATCTAATCTGGAGTGTTAGAGAAAAAAATGAAGAGGGAGGACCCAACAAAGCATTTAACTTTTGCAGACAAAACTTAAAAAATGATAATACAGGGGCCACATTATGCATTTTCTACTCATGCTCTAGCTAATTGGTTAGAAATTTCCTATATATATTTATTCCCCACATGCAAGAGCCTGTCTTCTTGTCAAAAAAAAAAACTCACTATATGCTCATTATATATATAAGCTCTTGTAGCGGAAATTGCTTTATTTCAATGGCCGCAGAGATTGGATTATTAGCTTCTTGTGCTGATAATGAATTCTCTGACCTAACAACAAAAGAAATTTCATCAGCAGCTCTTATTAATCTTGAAATGGAGAATCATAAAGCTAGCAATGGCGTTTCCCTTAATACTCCTGGCTGGTATGCTGATGTTTCTTGCGGATGGCCAGGTATTTTTTTATATATATTTTTCTTTTCCTTTTCCTAATAAAAGTTTCACAATTTTTATTCATCAATTGAGAAATTTTTAGGTATCTTTTTTTTCCCTTAAATTTATTTATCCTAATTTCAGTATAATTTGAACCCAATACATTTTTAAATACATGCATACATATACGTACATATTCTTTCATGGAAATTAGCTAACTCTACATTTGTTTACTGTATATATTCTACATACACGCGTACTTGTGCGCCAAAGAGACAAAATTAATCACTTCTGATACTTTCCAATTAGCCCAAGCATTAAGCAAGCCAAGTTAATAAATTCCCATGATTTAATTAACACTTCATTTCTTTCTAGCCATAAGAATATCAATGTGCAGACATATATAAATAGGACAGGGCAATGAATGATATCTTTATTTTTACATACAGGATTAGTCAGATCACATTGGAAATCTTAGGATTGATAACTTGTCGATCGGTCTTATAAAACTAACCAATGAAAATCTTTTAATCATATCCTATATATATATATATATATAGGAAGTACTTGGTGGGTGGTCTAGTATTATTGCCTTTTGACTTCATTTTCAAGGCAAAATGATTAACTCCGTCTAGCACATTGTTTTCTTGCCTCTGGAAAATTAAACAAAGGCAATCAAGAGCTTATAATTCCAGTTACTTAATGAGGAATAATTCTACAGGAGAAGCACATTTGTACAAGGTGGAAAAGGTCTTGTTTCATGGCAAATCGGAATATCAAGATCTTTTTGTATTTCAGGTTGGAAAAATAATGACTTTGTTTCCCCGCTTCTAATTGTTTTCCAATTCCACACTATATAATATGGATATATTCATTAATGTTATAATAGCCGCAAAGAAATATTTGGTTGTTTATATGATTTTTTGCAGTCATCAGCACATGGCAAGATTGTAATATTGAATGGGGCTCTTCAACTGACAGAAAAAGATGAGTTTGTCTATCAAGAAATGCTCACTCACCTCCCTCTTTGCTCCATTCCTAACCCTAAAAAGGTATTTAACTAATAATATGGAAAATGCATTTCTTTAGCTCTCTCTCTATATATAAATAATATTACATATTATTCAGGTATTACTAATTGGAGGAGGTGATGGTGGCATTCTAAGAGAAATTTCTCGACATTCTTCTGTTAATCAGATTGATATATGTGATATCGACAAAATGGTGATAGATGTGAGTATAAGATACAACTTATGAATAGAATGTGTATATAGGTATTACTAATTGGAGGAGGTGAATGGTGGCATTCTAAAGAGAAATTTCTTTCTTCGACATTCTTTTCCTGCTTAATCAGATTGATATAATGTGATATCGACAAATGGTGATAGCTGTTGGAAGTTAAAGATACAACTTATGAATAGAAATGTTGTAATATATATTATCATATATATATATATAATATATAATATATATATATACTATATATATAAGAAAATTCTTCCCCCTGAATATATATAAGATTCTTCCCTGAAATAGTGTTTTTTTGTCTTACATATTCAGGTATACAAAAGATTCTTCCCTGAAATAGCAATTGGGTACAAGGACCCACGAGTCAATCTGCATATAGGCAATGGTAGAAAATTAATATTATTTGCTCTAACCCATGGTGTTCAGCCTTTTGATTATTATTTTCTTCCATGCAGGAATTGAATTTTTGAGGAATGTCCCTCAAAGCACTTATGATGTAATTATACTGGATGCATTTCAATGCCTTGGTATTTCTATTTCTTTTATTTTTTGTCAACTTTTCTCAAACAAGATTGGAATATGAAAATTTTTGCTTTCACTAATGGGCTGTTATGTGATTAAGAAACATGAACTAGTCTCTCTCTATGGTTCTGATGTTATACATTTTGATACATAAACAGGGCCTGAAGAAGACGAAGTAGGTGATAAATACTTCCTAGAATCAGTGGTAAAGGCTCTTCGCCCAGGAGGAGTGATGTCTTGCCAAGCGGACAGCTTGTGGCACGCTCAATTTTCAGTCGCAGATTCCATTGCGAGATGCCGCCAAGCATTCAAAGGCTCTGTTAGCTACGCCTGGTGCACAACTCCTCCATATGCGAGGTATCAAACTAACTTTTTTTTTTTTTTTTTTTTTTTTTTTTTTTTTTTTTTTTTTTTTTTTTTTTTTTTTGATTGTCTAGATTTTTTGATTGATAATGAATTCGGTGTTTTTTTATTTCAGTGGGATGATAGGTTTCATGCTTTGCTCTACCGAGGGGCCGCCGGTTGACTTCAAACACCCTGTAAATCCTCTGAATCCTGAGAATTATGGAGTAGCCAAAGGACCTCCTTTGTTCTACAACTCAGAGGTATATTTCCTTCTCAAACCAACATGTTTTGAAAAAGTCAGTAGTTTTTTGGTTACTGTTTTGATTTTCTGTTGTCATTGTTGCAGATACATACTGCTGCATTCTGTCTGCCATCTTTCGCCAAGAAGATGTTTGGTTCCAAAATCTGACATTACAAAGAAGAGTAAGATTCAGCTAATAGCTAGGTTCTTTGTTTTCATTTACTATAAAAATAGTTTCAAATTCTAATTAACACAAGGAATGCAATCAACCATACCAAAGTTTTTTCTTGTTTCTCTTTTCTATGTACTGTTGCTTGCAACAACAAAATCAGTTAATAACAATCAAATGGTGCCTTGAATAGTTCCTTGCATTTCATGACAATAATTCCAAAGTGTGAATAAATATATTTTACAGCTCTCCAAGAAGGGGGGAAAAAGCACATCAGGGCTACAAATGCATTGCCTTGACTCTGCACGATCCGATGTCGAATCGCCGGGAGGAGTACCTGCTGGATGTGCTGTAGTGCCGGGAGGGGTGACCAAGGTATCGTCTGCAACATCGGTATCAGGAGACGGAATTGGCTCTGTGTTATGATCTTCTATATTCATGGACATAATACACAAATAATGAGGGAGAAAGAAGTAAGTGGCTAAAAATACAAGCACTCCAAGATCAGCCTCTTCACCAACTGCAGCCCTGCGAGGATTTACCCAGTATATCTGGCTTGCACACCACGAGCAATATAGGCTTGCTATGATCAGAATAAGTTTCAATGATTGATAGGATTGTTTTCTAGTGGACTTTAAAGATTTCACTCTGCATTCCAAAATGTTTTAAGCAATAAAACAAACGTCAGCAACCGTTCCCATGCTAAATATAAAACTGAATGAGAATAAGCACCTAAGGTTCCAAACAATAAATTGACCTGTTAATGTAAATAAAGCCACCAATCAAGCAAGTGCATAAGAAGCCAACCACAATAACAGCATCAAGATTGACAAGTGCTCGATTCTTCCACCAACCAGTGCTTAATATCCAGCTATACATTGATAAATGTCCATTTTCCTGTACATGGCAAGGTTTGCTTCATCAACTAAAATTGCAAACTTTTTTTTTTTAACAAAAAGTATGGCATCTCAAAGGCTCAAAGAAAAAGGAAAATAAAAGTGATTTGCACGAACAAATTTCAAAGATGGAGTTGCAAAAGCTACTTACTTTAGTGTTGCCTCAACTATGTACTAGCTAAAAAGACCATAAAATTATTTTCCTAAATATTCCAGTTTCAAAGCAAATTAAGTTCTTTTCCTGGCACAGTCTTTAGCTTACTGATGACTTTTAAATTGAGAAGAAAAATTATATTGATAATGTAACATATCAATATGAACCTTTAATATTTCTGGAGAATGAAGTTGAAATTTGTATCAAATTTTGTATCAAATCATTTCACATGACAATGCATCAATTTGAAATGGATCAAGGTCACACTGAATTTTTCACAGACCATCCAGTTCATACAGAGAAGAAAAGAAAGCTGGAACTGACGACAGTCATGACAGAGAGACACGAAGAACTGACAAACATAGCATCAACCATGTTAACTAATCCCCATTTATAGTTTTATGCAAATGTAAGTTCAGATTTGTGGCTTTTGTTTACCCCAAGGTTGGACCATTGCCACTTGCTCAAAACTTCAGGTCTATGTAGGCATGGCCAAATTTATTTACAAGGTAAAGGCAAAATATGTCATAGGCTAAGTCAGCCATGCCACCTGGTCTAATTTGAATAGCGAATAAGATGAACTCAAAGTCACATGCAATAAAATAATGCAAGTGTTGCCAACCTCAAGCTACCTTATGCAGCAAACCAAGAAATGGTGAACAAAAATTTAATGTTGTTCTAGACCATCACATGATAGCACAATAGTATGCAGCCCACACAATCATAGAAATGAATATCAAGCATGTTTCAAATCTCTGAAGAATTCAAATTTTACCCAAAACATTTTTCACAACTTGTCATGTCACAAACAAATCTTGCATTTACTGGTGATAAATTACTAATAAAATGCATCATATTTTTCAAGGAAAAGATACACGATATACAATTATTTAAAAACACTCTGCACTGGAGTATTAATTATTTTCTTACCTTACCCCTCAAAACACACCTCCACTCATTGTCTTACTTTTACAGCCATGAAAATTGGGTAATCTCTTCCTATAAACATCTATAAAATTATATTGGAACCTCTACTCCTGCACTTGTGAAAAGCAGTTTGCTGAGTTTTGGTGTCTAACGGGGCATCCACATGTTCTTTTTGTAATCATCATTAGCTTAGGAAAGTTACATTTAACCAAACCCCCCACCTCCCAAAACAAAAAAAAAATATATTATATTATATATATATTATATATATATATTGATTTACTCTACACCTTGCTAAATCACAAAACATATCGTGTTAACCACATCAAATTACATTTGCAATGCTCATGTCACTATGAAAACCTTTGAGCACGTCTTTTATGAAAGTAAGGCTACCAATTTAACACCCAATAGATTTTGGAATTGGAACCTGACACATCAGAAGATGTTTAATAGACTAAATTGCATCGTTTGTTGATTGCTTAAAGCACCCAAAACTACTAAATACAGAGGAAAACAGCTAGCACTTGATTTATCGATCAAAATTTCTCAAGATTTCCAGAATTAAATAGAATTGACATAAAATTCATAAGCAATCAGATATAAATCTCTGAATTTTACCTCAAACAAGTGATCTAGGAAAAAGTGCGATAAACACCCTGCGGACATCAACAATAAGCATTGCCTCCTCGTAAGGGGTACCTGCAGAATAAGATAGCAGAGAGATGAAATTTCCACATTAGTGGAAGCACTTGAGCAGTGTTATTTCTACTAAGTCCCATAGAAATGATAGAAATTAAACAAGAACCAGCATAAAAAATCCCAGTTCAATCAAACCCATTGCCTCCTACCACAATTAGTGAAATCAAAAGAATAACAAAATTTTGAAAGAAAACCAATCTCAAAACCGCCAATTATTTCTTTAACTTACAAAAATGGAAAGCGCAAACAATTTGAATTAATTAATAACTAAAGGATTCACAAATCAGGATTCCATTCCGTAATACCTCACTACTTATTAAGACTTACCCCAGAGACAGAATCAAGAATCTTCCTTTGAAGCAAAATTTTGGAGACCCAAGAGTAAAAAACACAAAATGGAAGACCCAGAATCAAGACATAGTAAAAGGGATCATGGATATAATCAGCTAGTGCAGAGCCCAGAGTGTGGCCAGAAGAACCGAGATTGGAACCTAGCCACTCGGAGAAAGAGCCAATGTCTGGACCGAAAAAGGCGTTGATGGTGTAGGTGAGGGTGTGGTGAGGGCTGAAACGGCCGTTGGTCAAAGTGGTGAGGGCCAGACCGGAGCCCATCGCGTACATCAAGTGAGGTCCGGGTCCTGGCATTATTAATGAGTAAACTAAGCTGTAGTTAATCAGTTATAAGAGCTGAAAAAGAAAACTGGTTTTCATTGAATTCAGCTAATTCGTCTAAGCTACACCGGTGTCGCGCTTGCCGAAGGCTTTTGACTGAACAGCGACCTCTTCAAAGAATTTTATTTATTTATTTATTTTCGAAATCCCAAATTTTTATTGAAAATGAGAGAGGATTGAATTGAAAAACAAAAGACTGAATTACAATAATATCTACTTAAATAGCATAGCCCAACTACAGACTGGCCCAGCCCATTCAACAAGCCGAAGTCGCAATAGGAACTCTTCCAAGTCCATCCAAACGTTTTTTTTCTCTCTCTCTTAAAAAAAAAAAAAAAAAAAAAAAAAAAAAAGGAAAATTATATTGTATCCCTTTTAGCACGAAATAGAATCAGAAAATGCCAGCAATACACAGTCGATTGATTTATTCTTAAAAAAAAAAAAAAAAAAGGAAAGTATTGTATCCCTTATACCACGAATAGAATCAGAAAATGCAGCAATACAAGTGATTGAGTTTATTCACTTATTAGATTTTCTACTGAGGAAGTATCTCCAGAAATAATTTAGTATCTCTCAGATTTGGCCCTATAAAAAAGAGCTCTGAGTTTCCCATTTTGATAAAATCACGATTGATCTCCATTCTCCTATTTTTGATAATTTACAGGCTCTTCTGTATCTTCTTCAGGTCATTGACATAAACATGGGATGGGATAGATTGCAGTTAATTGGAAGAAACTGCCAAAAGGGACATTAATACATATCCAGCTTGGTATTTATAATAACATGCCTATATATATATATATATATATATATATATACCCCACATGCAACAGCCTTCTTGCCTTCCACATTTCATACAAACTTACTGCTCATTATATAAATAAACTCTTATTGTGGTATAGCTTTATATATTTGCTATTAAGAGAGAAATTTCAATGGCTGAAGAGACTGGTTTACTAGCTTCTTGTGCTGATAACGAATTCTCTGACCTAACAACAAAAGAAATTATGGAGTGTTGAAATCGATAAAATGGTGATCGATGTGAGCGTAAGATACAAGTTATGATAATATAAATTTTTGAAAAAAAATGTAGAAAAAGATTTAAAAAAACAACTGCATCCTGTTATTTCTGTTTTTGTTTCTTTCTTTTTTCTTTTCTGACATATATATTCAGGTATATAAAAAATTCTTCCCTCAAATAGAAATTGGATACCAGGACCCACTTGTCAATCTGCATCTAGGAAACGGTAAAATGTTAATACTATCATATTATGTTTTCTTAAGCTAAATTATGGTGTTTAGCCTTTTCATTACTATTCTTTTCCATGTAGGAGTTGAATTCCTTATAATAATGACCCTCAAAGGACTTATGATATAATTATATTAGACGCATTCCAATGCATGGGTATTTCTCTTTCTTTTCCCAGGAAGAGCGATGTCTTGCCAAAGAACCTCCTTTGTTCTATAAATCAGAGGTATGCTTCCTTCTCAAACCACAAACCAACGTGTTCTGAAAAAAGTCAGTACTTTTGTTTACTGTTTTGATTTTGTTGCAGATACATACCGCTTCATTCTGTCTGCCATCTTTCGAGAAGAAGATGGCTGGCAATGGTTCCAAAATCTGATATAACGAAGAAGAATAAGATTCAGCCACTAGCTAGTTTCTTTGTTTTCATTTACTGTAAAAGTAGCAGCTAATCCGTCTAAGCACTAAGCTACACCGCTTGCCCTTGTCGGAGGCTTTTGAGTTTTGACGGAACTGCCATGTCTCAACTCTCAACTCTCAGTGAATTGTACTTTATTATTATTATTATTATTATTATTTTTTCTGGAAGGAAAATGAGAGAGAGGGGATTGAATTGAACAACAAAAGTCCAATTATAATAATGGGCTTTGGCATACCTACTTAAATAGAATATCCCAACTGCAAAAGGTGACTGGCCCAGCCCATGTCTTAATAAAAACTCCATTCAATACTTCTGTCACACATTTTCCGCAAAAAAACGAAGCTTTATGTGGGAAAATTCTTATTCTTATACATTTTGCCAGAACACCATTTTTTTAAAACGACAAGTCTTCTTACTTGTCATCATCAATACTACTATTTTTCACCTTAAAACATCATTAATTATTTTAGATTCACTTATTTAATTATTCTTTTTCAGCAGCCTCTTCAATTACTTTGGTTTCAGTTTATTTATTTAAAATGAAAAAGTTATGCTCAATTTGCTATAAATTTATCTCATACATAGAATTGATTTGCAAATTAACTTTTTATTTTGGAATAAATTCAAATATTGAAAATTTATTTGCTTTTATTTTTAAAATATTTTTAGCATAATAATTTTAGAAGGCTAGGAGATGAAAATTTTAAAATTTAATATAAATTTTTTTGTTAATATTAATATAATTAGGTGTGTGTGTATATATATATTATTTAATAAATTTTTAATTAAAACAATTTCCTTGCTACATAATCAACTTTTTTAAATTGTAATTATAAATTTTTTATTAATCAATATAATTTAGATTTGATTTAAACCCATCAAATTAAATTATCCTTCTTTGTTATTAATAAAATTAAAAGCTTTTAAAATATTTTTATCATTTATATTTAATAGGAATAAATTTCAACACGAATGTTTCACATCCCTAATCCTACTTTTATATAATTAAATAAATTAACTAATTAAGACAGGATAAGCATAAAACATTCCACGTTTCTGACCAAATAAAAATATATTTTCAAGGTATGAAAATTAGTGGACCCACAAAAAAACTATAATTATTATATTTTTAATTTCACTTTTAGCGGATAAGGACTGGAGAAGGGACCCACGCCACCATCCCCACACGCCTTCAAATCAAATTCTTACCTTACGACACCCTTGCCCTGGAACACGGTTACCAGATAACGCACGCGGGTCCCATTCTCTTTTCTCTAATGCAATAATGCAAATATCACGCCTTTTTTTTCTTTTTTCCTAATGGATCATCTACTGCTTTTTGCCCCCCTCTAATAAAAAAAAAATCGATTTGATGTTAATTTACAATAAAAATGTTTTTCATCGCATTACATTTTATTTTGATTATTCCATATTAATTAATAATGAAAAATATAAATACATAAATATTAAAATATCAGTCAATGATTATTCATTTTATCAACGATTGAACTTCGTTACTATCGAAACTTAATCGATAAATATTTTTCTATTATATTGATAATTTTAAGGTTTTAGAAAATTTGGGTTTTTTATAGAATAAAATACTATTTTCTTTCTTGCCAAAACTTAAAATATTTTCAAATTAAAAAAAAAAGTATGAATGATTTTGAGAAAATTACTTTTTAATATGAAATATATTTCATTTATCTGGATTTTCAAAATAGAATCTCAAAATATGAATTGAAAGCTCATTAATGTCTTATTAATAAACTCTTTTTCACCTCTACAAACATTCACACTGATTTTTTAAAAAAATATTGGAAAATTATTTATATAATTGAAATATAGAAAAAACAAAAATAGGCACTTTAGAGAAAGAAGAACGCCAAAGCAAAATTGAAGATCAAGATAAGACCCGAAGTCAAAATATCTTTTGCAATGTGTTTAAATATATAATATCTATAAATAAAACAAAAATATTTATTTTATTTACAAGTTACAAAAAATGTATGTGTATCCGGTCAAGCAGCAAAGAAAGAATGTCTATGTCCTCCTCCATGCGGGCAGCGTGCGTAATAAAGCTTTGTGCTTTGATGATGACGTGGCTGTTTTTTATTCGACAATAAGACCGCAACACAAGCACGGAGGAGCAAACGTGTAAAGACACAGTGGCAGTTGGTGGATCCCACAGAGACAACGAAACTAAAATAAGGTTAAGGTGTCCACTCGACTCGACCCGCAAAAGCATTAAAAAGTCCGTACGAGAAAGGGAAGCAAGAAGATAAGATGAGGAAAATGGAAGGAGTTTGGTCCCAGTGTCCCCCACGGCCCCACCTAGATTTTATCCGCTTCGTACTCCGTAATTCCTGGATGGCCCTCCATCCCTTCATAATTACCTCTTTTGCCATTTCTTTTTTTTTTCCCTTCTTTTTACATTAGGATTTTAATTTTAATATTACTTTTATTATGTTTTTTAAATAAATATATTGTGTTTTCAAAAAAAAAAAAAAACATATTATGATCACATGGTCAAATTTAAATACTCCTTCCGTTCTTTTTATATAGAAAATTTTCAATTTTTGATGTGTTTTCATATAGAAAATTTTTCTTCATTTGGTAATTTTGGGAACTATACCAATGTGAAAAATCTATCTTATCATTAATTTAATTTTTTGTAAAGCTTTTAGTGTGGAATATTATGAAGATAGTGGCAGACAAAGGTATAGATAAGTATTTAATGTGAAAAAATTTTGAATAATAAATTTTTTAGATTAATTTTCGTTGAAAAAATAATGTGCTCGTATATGTGATATGAGCGTTGATTAAAATGGAGTTTGAATAGAAAAGACTATAAAATTTTCAGATTGACCACATTGAACTAAATCTTTATAGATTTCGCTCAAATATTTGAAAAATTACCCAATATTTAAAGTACGTTTTCAGTAACCGAAAATAGTTGAAAGGTTAAATGAACAAAAAATTTTATATTCTCATACAACTTTTCTAAAGAAATATAATAAATTTCTTTCCACACGTCAGATCATAAATTTTATTTTTTGCAACCATTTGTATTCTTTTCATTTGAACAAAATATTTAAAGCCGTAATTTACAATATAACAAAAAAACAACATGAAGTGCATTCGAGATTTATTTCAAATGAATACAAATGTGTAATTTATTTAGAAGAGACACAGAAAAAATAGCAAAAGAAAATTGTAGAAAAATAAAGAAAAACAAGAGAAAATATGGGAGTAATTATCACAAGAGACAAAAATTACCCTCTTTTCCATATTATTTGTTTGCCTTCCTTGTGAAATTTTCTCAGAAATTACATTTTTTTTTTAATGGAAGAGCAAAGATCTCTACACACACAACTTGCAGTAAGCTACTGATCTACTATCATCATGTATGAATTAGAAAAACATGGAGTAACATTTCCAAAAACACAAGTGTCCATAGACATAATTTCAGCAAAAATCACTTTATA